TGGTGGTGGTGGTGTTGGTGGTGGTGGTGTTGGTGGTGTTGGTGGTGTTGGTGGTGGTGGTGGTGGTCGTCGTCGTCGTCGTGTTGGTGTTGTTGGTGTTGTTGTTGTTTTTGTTGTTGTTGTTGGTGGTGGTGGTGGCGGCGGTGTTGGTGGTGGTGGCGGCGGTGTTGTTGTTGTTGTTGTTGTTGTTGTTGTTGTTGTTGTTGTTGTTGGTGGTGGTGGTGGTGGTGGTGGTGGTGGTGATGGTGGTGGTGGTGATGGTGGTGTTGGTGGTGGTGGTGTTGGTGGTGTTGGTGGTGTTGGTGGTGTTGGTGGTGTTGGTGGTGTTGGTGGTGGTGGTGGTGTTGGTGGTGTTGGCGGTGGTGGTGGTGTTGGCGGTGGTGGTGGTGTTGTTGTTGTTGTTGGTGGTGGTGTTGGTGATGGTGGTAATTGTGGTGGCGGTGGTTGTGGTGATAGTGGTGGTGGTGGTGGTGGTGGTGCTGGTGGTGGTGGTGGTGGCGGCGGTGTTGATGGTGGTGTTGGCGTTGGCGGAAAGGGTGATGATTGTGGTGGTAACCGTTGTGACGGTGGCCATGACGGTGGTAGTGGCGATAGTAGTCATTGTAGTCGTCGCGATGAATATATATTTCCCTTTCGGTGGAATATTTGTAGACAAGGTGCCTAATTCTTTTCGGTACGTGACAGTCTACTGATTACCAATTAACTTAGAATCGGCGTTACAACAATGTATATTCTCCTTCGGATTTCGTATCAGTAAATCGTACCTACACTACTACTAATATTAATTACCAATCATTTTATTTGCAGATTGTTATTATAATGAGCCTGATACAGTATTCTCCCGTCACATACGAAATGCCCTATGCAGAAAATGGCGTGTATATTTATCCAAAGTGGAGCATGATAATCGAATGGAGCATCGTTGGCATTCCTGTTTTCGTCATTATAGCAGCATTCCTGCACGAGTTCTGCAGTGTGTCAGGATGGACGGTAACTCTTATTTCTCGCTTTGCAGCTATAGATGGCTGTAGAGGTCCGATTCGTGGTGTCCTTTGTTTCATTTTCGGCGTTGTCCGCGATTATATTAACCAATTATTCCCTGCTAAATATGTTGTATGTGGTCAGACATGCATTCGTAAAAAATATTATAATATAATACTTATATAATATAGGTAAACTTGCTTTAATAATGTTCACAGTTCATCTTTGGCCGCTGCTAATCATGCTTTTAATGCGCGATATATAGGTCTTTACTAAAGTTTAGTAACCAAACTAGTAAAGTTTAGTTAAAGTAAGTAATTATTGACATAAATCAACACGTTTTGCAGGCGCTAAAGGAAGCCGCTCAACCAGGTTGGAACTGGGGACCAGCCGCCGATCAACGCAACCTGCACAGTGGTGACTCTGCTAAACAGATATTTAGAAATACCTCCGAAATCAGCCTGTCATCACTCGACCCTACTAACCTTGCTCTTAGTATTGACATGAACAACGGCATTACGAACAACAGCTTTGATCCTACACTAGATAACATTACTAGGTATTAGCACCTCGTGATATTAGGGAATGTGCAATTGCATTAGCATTGGTAGTTTCAGTTGTCGTTGTCGTTTCTTGCAATAATTTACCCTCTTGGTAGATAACGGCGACATTTGCTTTATTTCTGCATGTATCGTATCTGATCATGCTTTGCTAGAAACTCCCATCACTACGTAGAGCCATTATCGTTATCATTAGACATGTGCACTTAGGATGAAGATAGGGACAGGGGTAGCAATGTTAAGGGACAAAGAGATAAGGATAAGGATAATGAGGCGCTTGTTGAGGAAGTGCTGCGCCATCGTCAGATAAAATTCCGTAATTCACCGGTGGAACATTTCATGAAATAAGTGCGGCAGTAAGCCATTTGTACCGATATGCTATTTGCAGTGATAGTATTGGTTATAATTGATATAATGGATATTATACAGTTGAGGGTATTTGCAACCTTCCTGTCTCATCTAACTATATTAATCGACTACCAATTTAGTGACGCCACAAATTATAATCAGAATTTTTTTGTTTCGAATCGGATTACTTGGTCATGTAATTACAATGTCGATATCTATGTCACGCAGCACACCAGCAGGTGTATTATAGTTGTGAAAACGAGAAGAGGAGTTGAGTGTTGATTTATCGATCTATACATATGATCAAGAGCGTATAAAGAAGGTACGCTCTTATATTTATACGCCCTTCTTTATACGCTCTTGATATGATAGATTACAATCGCTTGCAGAATACAACTACGAGTGAGTCCACGTGTAACAGCTGCTCATGTTGCTTTGTTACGGTGCAATAATGTAAATAGTATATATCAAGTGAAACTGATGAGAAAATGTCTAACACGTTGTTGTGATCGCAAAAGCAGTCTTAACCTCGACATCCGTAGTAACAGCTGCTGAGCTACAGCAGTCTTAACCTCGACATCCGTAGTAACAGCTGCTGAGCTACAGCAGTGTTAACCTCGACATCCGTAGTAACAGCTGCTGAGCTACAGCAGTCTTAACCTCGACATCATTAGTAACAGCTGCTGAGCTACAGCAGTCTTAACCTCGACATCCGTAGTAACAGCTGCTGAGCTACAGCAGTGTTAACCTCGACATCATTAGTAACAGCTGCTGAGCTACAGCAGTCTTAACCTCGACATCCTTAGTAACAGCTGCTGAGCTACAGCAGTCTTAACCTCGACATCATTAGTAACAGCTGCTGAGCTACAGCAGTGTTAACCTCGACATCCGTAGTAACAGCTGCTGAGCTACAGCAGTCTTAACCTCGACATCCGTAGTAACAGCTGCTGAGCTACA